CCCAGCTGCGCCCAGCCCCGGTTTAGTGGGCGGGTGGGTGGGCCACGTACCAGGCGCCGTCATCGCCCGGGCCGGCGGCCAACGCCGGCGGCAATGACTCGCGTGCGCCCGATGGTGCTGCCGTCGTCGCCCACTCTTACGCCAACAAGATCCAGACCACCGACGCTGGCTACCGCCGGTTTCACCAGCCCGAGCTTGAGGCGCGCGCCGGTAGCGCCAAGGGGCCGGGTCCGCTCCCAACACGCAAGGTCCTCGAGGCGCTTGACAAGATCGAGACCATGTTCTATCGCACGCCGCCGGTCCACACCGCACTTGTGGCGCCGTCGGCCAAGATTGACGGCTCAGACGCCGTCGCCGCCCTCCTCATCCACCTCTCCAACAACATGATGGTCCGGCTCTCGCTCGCAGGCTCGATGCATGCGCTGCATCTGGCCAAGGTCCGGGTCGACGACTCGTACGCCAAGAAGATGCGCAACACGGCAGTGGCCTCTGTCGTCCGCCCGCAGTTTATCGTCATCGCCTACGCCTCGCAGCACCTCACGGTCCACACCCATCGCAAGCCCAAGGCCGGCCCAGTCTCGTCGTTCAAGAAGCTCACCGAGCTCAAGCCGGTGACGGTCACGCTCGAGGCGCCGGTCCAGGCTCTCGACGTCAACGCCTCCAACTCGCTCATCCTCGCCACCTTTCGCCAGGCCCAGACGCTCTCGGTCTTTGGCTTCCAGGCAAGCGGCGGCCTCGGCCTGATGGCGCGGATCCAGGCCGACTCGGGCTCAGTCTTCTTTGATGCTCGCTTCTGCAAGTCCAAGCCCAACATGATCTACACCATCGAGGAGCCGGTCACCGCCGCTTTCCGCACGAGATCACCGTCAAGATCTACGAGTTCCAGCACGGCAACCTCATCCTGCAGAACCAGCGCGCGCTTCTTGTCCACCACTCGATCACCACCGTGGCGTATACTCCGTCCGGCGGCCGGGTTGTCTTTGGCTTTGTCAACGGCCGCCTCGTTCAGTTTGACTTTGAGACGCTCTCCGTCAAGCGGGTGACCGTCTCCAACGGCTCGTCGCCGATGCGCATCCTCTTCCACCCTGACGACCCTTACAAGCTCCTGCTCGCCATGTTTGCCGACGGTGCTGTCTACGCCTTTGATGCCGCCCTTAACCCGCTCTCGTTTGTCTACGAGTCGGGTGACGTTGCCGCTTCCTTTGCTTGCATGCAGTACTCCAACTTTAACTCGTACCTCGGCCACGTCGAGTGGCTGACAAGCGCCTCGCTGGCCAAGCTATCGTCGACTGCCGCCGTGTCCCGCACCACGCTTCCGGTCGCCGGCGCCCTGCCGACCTCGCCGCTGCCACCGTCGATGGCGCCGGGGAGCCCGGCGCCGGCCGGCGCTGGCTTTGACCCGTTCGCCTCGCCCAGCGCGGCGGCGCCCGGCTTCCCGCTATCACCCTCGCCGGCACCCGCCGACGCGGCTCCGGTCACGCCTGCTGCGCCGGCCGCAACGCCGCCGCTGGTGCCGCCGGCAGACGAGCCTGTCGCCGCAAAGTCGATCGAGCATCTGCTCCTGATTGGCGACCGCGGGCCGATTGTCGTCGCCCGCATTGTTGTCCCGGGCAGCGCCGGTGCCGTCCTCGATGAGCATCTTGCTGCCAGCGAGCCGAACAAGGCGGTTGCCCTGCTCGCCATGCTCAACGGTGACGACCACTCGGCTTACATCGCTGCCCAGCGGGTCTTTGACCATGTGCTCGGCACGCCACCGCCTCCAGTCGCCGAAGCATCGTCCAAGGAAGGCAAGGCGCTACACAAGGCGCTCATTGCACTGTGGAAGCGGTTCGCCAAGCACACCGTGTACGGCCCGCTCATGCTCGGGCACCTGACTCGCTACTTTGGCTGGCTCCTCGCCGCTGGCCGGCTCTCATTCGCCTACGCTGTCGCCGACGCGCTCGACTCGCGCCCGCTGCTGCGGCAGCTAGGCGAGTGGGCTGCCGCTGAAGACTCGGCAGGTAACGCCGAGCTTGTTGCCACCTGCCGCGACCGCGCCGCGTCGGCGTCGCAGGTGGTGGCTGCCTCGCGCGAGGCGCTTCTTCCACCGTCCCCGTCACGCCGCCGCGGTGGCACGCCCATGCCGTCCTCGCCGCCGCGCGTTCGCGCCATCAACCTCTTCTCCCCCACCGCGCCCAGCCCGGACTTTGGCCGCCACTCGTCGTCCGTCTCGATCGGCGGCGCGCTTTCATCCGACAGCGAGCTCGACATTGCGCCGCCGTCTCCGCCAGGTCACACCGGGCCCGGCCTCGTCAGCGACGACCTGCTCCAGTCGCCGACGTCGCTGGCCGTCCATCCTCCGCTGGCCGTCTCGGACTCGGACGACGCCGGGCCGAGTCACCCGGTCTCCAACACAGAGTCGGGCGGCCACTCTTCCGACTATGACTCAGACTCGCTCTCAGACTCGGACTCCGGTGCCTCGTCCGATCGCCTCGGTCTTGCGCCGCCGCCCGGCGACGACGCCGCCGACCAAGCCTCGTTCGGCCCGGAAGACTACAACATCTTCTCCTCGGGCACTGGCTTTCTCTCCGCCACCATGGACGACAACGAGGTGTCGTCCGGCATTGGTGGTGGCGTCTCGCCCACAGACTGGCCTTCCCTCACACAGACCCAGGCCCGCACCGTCGGCGCCAAGCTAGAGGCCACCGGCGCCATCCACGACGCCTTTGAGCTCTATCAGATGCACGGGCTCTACGATGACGCTGACCGCGTCTTTGAGCGCATCGACCGGCTTGCCGAAGCTCAAGCCGGCTCGTAAACCCCCCTCCCCTCCCCCCATTCCCGCTCCCTTCGACTTGAGCGCTACACGAAATTGTCGGGTACGTGCCACGGGTGATCGCACTCTTCCTCTCGCTGACCAGAATGACTGATCACCGCTCACACCTTCTCCGCATCCTCCGCATCCTCCCCTCCCTTTCCTGCCCCAGCTCACCCCTTCTCACTCTCTATGCCATGTCTCAGCCCCCTCCCCATTCCCATCCCATCCCACCCCCATCCATATCCTCATCTCTCTCCCTCCGATCCCCGATCCCCCCGATCCCCTTGACTCCCCCCCCCCCCCCAAACCCCGCCTCTGTCACCACCTCCCGCAGCCGTTGTTCGCTGACTGTTGTTGCAAGCCCCCCCCCCTCCCCCCCTCCCCCCGCTCTCCCGACACCACCACCGCACTCCCACCACAAGCAACATGTACTTGGAACGCAAGCCGGTAGAGGTGGGCCGCCGGGCACGGCTGTCGTGGTGGCTGGCGTCGCCGGACGGGCGTGTGGCGCTGGTGTCGGTGGTGGCGGTGGTGTGGCTGGCGGCGCTGCTGCTGCCGTGGCACACCACCAAGGTGACTCGGTACGCACAGCCTGCGGCCAACGTGACTGCGGCATCGGACTCGTCGTCGTGCTGGGTGCTCGGGCGCGGGACTTGCACCGGCGAGCTGTACTCGCTCAGCGCACAGCACGGCGACCTGCGCCTCATCTACACCGTCACCTTTGCCTGCCTCCTTGCCGGCTTGGTCCTCCTCCTGCCCTACGCCGTCCTCACCTGGTACGACGCCTCGGTCTGGTCCGGCGTGCTGGGCGTCATGGCCGGCGCTTTGCTGGCCGCTGCCGTCGCCTTCTTTGCCGTCGGCGTCGACGAGCACAACCGCGCCCACGCCTGGGGCAAGGCCACCGTCGTCTCGGCTCTGGGCAGCCAAGCTCGCACCGAGTCGAGCGGCATGAACATCGGCTGGTACCTGGCGGTCGTCCTCTGGTTCCTCCTCTTTGCCGTCTTTAGCTACGTGGCCAAGCACTCGAGCAAGCGCCGTGGCGGGTGGTGATTCCCCCGACTGGTCCTCCTCACCCGAGCCGATTGAGCGCCTCGATGCCTGCGGCAAGCGTGTCATCTGCCTTGCAGAAGCAGAAGCGAGCGTAGTTGGCTGCCAGCTCGGCGTGGTCCGGCGAGTAGAAGGCCGACGGCGGAATGGCAGTCACGCCCGCGCTTTGGGTCAGCCACCGGCAGACTTGGTAGTCACGGGCGTTGGTCTCGCCTACCGGCACGCCCGCCACAGGCTCGAACGGGAACGGGCCGGGCAGGCTGCCGGTGTCAGCCAGCGCAAAGTACGAACCCTGGGGGGCAATGGGATCGAGCCCTGCGCGGGCGAGCGCGCCAACCAGTAGGTCGCGTTTGGCCTGCAGCGCGGCGACCGAGTCGGTAAAGTAGTTGTGCTCGTGGGCGGCCGGAAAGAGGGCGGCTGCAGCGGCCTGCAGCGGCGTCGGCGAGGCAAAGGTGATGTACTGCGAGACGAGCCAGAGGGCGGTGATGAGCTTGGGCGGGCCCAGCGCCCAGCCCAATCGCCACCCGGTCACCGAAAACGTCTTGCCTGCCGAGCCGAGCGTGATTGTCCGCTGGAACATACCCGGCAGCGAGCCGATCGAGACGTGCGGTTCCGAGTCCGAGTACACTAGCGAGTCGTAGACCTCGTCGGCGAGGACGATGAGGTCGTGCTTGCAGGCCAGCTCGGCGATGCCCTCGAGCTCGGCCCGCGAAAAGACCTTGCCCGTCGGGTTGTGTGGCGTGGTGAGAACGAGCATGCGGGTGACCGGTGAGATAGCGGCCTCGAGCTTGTCCAGATCAAGCTTCCAGCCTGAGGCCGAGAGCACTGTCTCGCGGCCAGAGCCCGGTGGCGCTGGCACGTGCTCCGGCGTGTACTCGAGCGGGACGTAGCGTGCGACGGCACCAGCCAGCTCCACAGACGCTGGGTAAGAGTCATAAAACGGCTCCATGAGCACCACCTCCTCGCCGGGATCAACCAACGCGTTGATGGCGGCGTAGATGGCGGCCGACGCGCCCGAAGTGACCAGGACCTGCGAGTCTGGATCGTCCAGTGCGCCGCCGAGCTTTCCCGAGTACTCGTCGACAAGGGCGCGGACCAGCCCCGGATGCCCGCGTGAGCGGGTGTACTGGTGGCCCATGGCACCAGCCCGCGCCGCATCGACCAGCGCCTCGCTGATGAACTCGGGCAGCGGCATGTCCGGGAAGCCCTGGCCGAGGTTTGCGGCGCCGACGGCAGCCGCCAGCGGCGAGAACTCGACCCAGACCGAGCCATTGGGATCAAAGCCCGCCACACGCTCTGCTGTCTCCCTACTCGGCGGCGGGCAGCAATCGAGGCGGATGCCGCTGTTGTATCGGGCGGGCGGAGATGCGGGCGAGCGGGAGGGAGCGGTGGCGAGTGCCGACAGTGGCCGGCGGAGGCCAGCACGGAGTGAGGCCAGCATTGCGAGTGTACACTGGTATGTGTGTATGTGTGTATGTATGTGTATGTATGTGTGTGTATGTGTGTATGTGTGTGTGTGTGTGTGTGTGTGTAGTGATGTCTCTCTCTCTCTCTCTCTCTCCCCCCCCCCCCCCCCCCACACTCCCTTTGCCTCTCTGGTGACTGGTGACTCTCTCTCCCCTGGTCGTGTCATCCTGCCTCAATCAGTACCCATCATCATCGCCATTCGCCATCTGCTCGTTGCCCCCCCCCCCCCCCAAACCTTGGTTGTTCGCTGTTCGCCGGCTGGCCCTTCCCCCCTCGCCCCGCCCCTCCCCTCACACCCCGACACGATCTGGCTGACGACAGTACCATTCTCCACCTCTCCTCTCCCCACAGATGCAGGTCGCTTGGACGGTGCAGCGGGCGCGACTGGGCATGAGGAGCGGACAGCGGGCACGGCAGGCGGTGGGATCGAGTCGGGTCCCGATGGCCTTCTCAGCCTTGGCCCTGGCCAAGCAGGAGACCCTGTTCCGCAGACGGACCGAGCTGGTGGTGGTCCACGAGGCGCTGCCGGAAGAGACTGCGTACACCACTGCTCACGATGGGACCATTGTTCTATGGGACTACTCGGATCGCCCACAGGAGGCGTCGCGGACACGGGTCGTCTTCATGGGCGCAGGCAAGGCCGCCGGCCTGCAGGAGCTCCGCCTGCTTCCGTCGTCGCCGGGCCTCCTCTTCACCGCCTCGCTCAATGGCACTGTCTGCATGCACGACGTCGCTGCCCAGGCCTCGCGCATCCTGCTAGGCTCTTTTTCCTGGGATCGATGGTTCACCACCTGCGACATCGCTGAGGATCGTTCGCTCGTCGTTGCTGGCGACAACCACGGCTACGCCTACTTTCTCGATCCACGGACCGGCTCCAACCTTGTGACAGGTGCTGACGCCGCCCTGGTGGCCAAGGCCGAAGCCACACCCGACAATCACGTCTCCCACTGGATGACCCGCTCGGTCGCGTGGGAGGGCGATCCCTACGCCACCTGGGCCGAGCCCTCGCTCGCCTGGCTCCCGCCACAGGCCCCACCGGGGTATGACGTGCTCGATGGCTCGCGCTTTGGTCGCGCACCCGGATCGCCGCTCGTCCGCCCGCCCTCGGTTGCTACAGGCCGCGGCTTGCGCTTCCATAAGAACAAGCTTGTCCACGCCGAGTTCCATCCCGCCGACACCAACGTTCTCCTCACCGCTGGCCATGACAAGGTCATGCGTCTGTGGGATGTCCGCAAGCTTAGCTCGACTGGCTTTGCCGTCGGCCACACCGCCTCATCGCTCCTTTCCGAGTATGCTCTGCCCGCCAATGTCAACGCGGCGTACTTCTCGCCGGGCGATGGCGCCCGCATTCTGGCCACCACACAGAACGATCTCATTCTCGTCTACGACGTCGCCGATGGCTCCATGGGCGTCATCAACCACCCCAACTCGTTCTACCAGCACATGACACCCATCAAGGCCTCTTGGCACCCAATCCATCCCGAGTTCTTTGTTGTTGGCTCGTACAAGTCGCTTTCCAAGCGGTCCACTACCGCAGCCTTTGCCGGTATGGACAAGGACGCATACGCCCACATTGCCGAGTACCGCGGCATCGACCTGTACAACGCCGTCACTCTCGATCACGTCGCTGCCATCCCGGCCACCGTCGTCACTGAGAAGCCGCGCGTCTTTGCTGTCAACAAGTTCTCCGCCACCGGCGATGTTCTCCTGTCCGGCTCGGGCCACTCGCTCTACGCGTGGCGACCGGTCAACGCTGTCGACGCTGCCCATCGCTCTGGCAACAAGCGCATGCGCTCGCCTAGCCGCGGCTCGCGCTCCGACGATGATGATGATGACGACGGGCAGGGAAGCGGCCCGCATCGCCCACTCTCCGCCATGTCGCTCGCCGATCCCGCTGCCATCAACAGGCGCATCCGCGATTTGTTCGGCCGGTCGCAGCGGTTTGCTAACCCCGGCGATGCCAAAGACATGCTCGCCAAGTCGGGCAAGGCCAAGGCCAAGGCCAAGACCGCGACTAAGGCCACTGCGGCCAAGTCAAGGTCCAAGACAAAGGCCAGCACAAGGGCCACCACAGCCTCAGTCGCTTCCACCGCAACTGCAGCGTCAACGTCGTCTCGACCCCGAAAGAAGCCCAAGACGCTCAGGTCATCCAAGGCCGCCGCGGCGATCGATTTCACGCTTGCCACACCACCGGCATCCCAGACCTCGTCCCAGGCAGCTTCACAGGCTACGCCCACAGCTGCATCACCGTCTCGCTCCGTTCCACCCGCGGCGTCTGTCGCTGTCTGTGTCGGCGGCGGCGACGACGACGACGACGATGACGACTTTGACACAACATCGCTCACGCTCTATCCTCCGTCTGCGTCGTCATCCCTGTCGCAAGAGTCGCTTGATGCGCTCCGGCATCGCGGGCGGCGCGACAGTCGCAGGAAGCGCAACAAGCAGTTGTGAGGAGGCCGAAGGCTTCAATACTCTTGCAAGTTCGATGTGGAACGGAACGATGGCATGGTGTACGTGTTGGTCACCATCAGCCGCGGTGACGAGGCCGAGTGCACGTCGTCGTTCTTCAGGCTAGAGACAACCTCGAGTTGGAGCTTGCCGCACAGTGCGCCAAGCGTTCCGGAGGCCGGGTCGACACCGTGGACACCGATCTCGACATAGTTGGTCCGGGTAAATGACAGCGGCGAGAGCACAAGTCGTCCACAGCCGACCACTACCAGGTCTTCCAGCACAAATAGGTCAATGACTGGCGACGGGTGATTGGGGACCGGCCGGTGCACAATCCATGGGTTCGGCGCCTCATAGCCCGACGCAACTGCGGCCGAAGGCGCCATCTCGACGAGGTCGACCGAGTCCTGAGACTCGAGCTGGGTCGCTTGCAGCGGCACGTGTGCCGTGTTGGGCGCAGCAAGCACCGCCATGCGGACATCTGCTGCTCCGCTCACCCACTCCAGCCGCTTGATGCCAACTCGGAGCGTGGAAGGGACCCTGCGCCGCGGCGAGATGGCCTCGTGCGGCGGGCGGGCGCTGGTGTCGGGCGGCGACGCCGGCTTGATGTGGGCAAGCGGCGGGCCGTTCTCATCGGCACCGATAGCAGCGTCGTCGTCGCTGGCGTCATGGTCGGTCTGCATCTCCAGAACAGCGATGCCGTAGCGACGGCGGTCAAGCTCAGCAAGCGCGTGGCGGTGAACCCGCTCGGCGTCGAGCAGCGCCTGCCACTCGTCCTCGAACAGAATCTCGGCGTTGCCGTCCTCAGCGACGGCAAACATAAGCTCCTGCTGAAGGGCACGCTTCCCAGCCTCCAGTTCACGGCGTTTGCGCTCACGTTCGTACGCCCGGACACGGTTCGACTCGTCAACCCGTTCCTTCTCTGCCACCAGATCGACCAGAAACGGCGAGCGATCGGTCCGTTTCCGCCAGCGGTGCTCCAGCTTGCGCAGGTATGTCTGGGTCTTGCGCTTGGCCTGTGCATCCTCGACGCGCGCCCGCGCAGTTGCAGGTCGCGCCCGCGAGTAGTGGACCGACACACCCTGAATGGCTCGTGACTCGTCCTTGGCATCCTTTCTCACCGTTGCGCCAGCCGCAGTCCTCGGGCGGCGCTGCCGCCGCTTACGGCCACCAGCCGCGGTCGCCGGGCGCGACCCTACCGGCGGACGCGGAGCACCAGCCCCACCGCCGTGTCCCGTACGACTGCGACCACCAGCCGTTGCCGGCCGGCGCTGACTAGTTGAGGAAGCCGATGGTGGCGGACCGGCACGGGAGCGGGAGCGGGACGATGCGGCGCGGGTCGAGGCCGAGGCCGAGCGTCGCGGACGGGCTAGCATCTCCTGGCGCACCTTCCACGTCCTATCGGGCACCGAAAGCGTCTTTGCCAGCGGGTTTTCTGCAAGGATGGCCGCCCGGAGCGAGTGCCCTCGCCCTTTGCGTCCGTGGCGGCGGCGTGTCCTGGGCGGCGGCGAGGTCGGCTGGGTCCTCACGAGGCTCTGTGAGACCACCGGGCGGGCAAAGTAGTCGCGCACCGTATGCCGCGGCGAGACCGACGACATGCGTGTGCTGTGGTAGAAGTGGGAGCGGGAGTGGGTGTGGTGGTGGGTGTGGTGGTGGGGGTCTGGGGTTGGTGGTCGGGTGTGGCTGCCTGCTGCCCAAGTCGGCTGCCTGAGCCGTGTCTGTGGCCAACGGACGCCAACCGACCGACAGAGGGACGGCGGGACGGAGGGACGGACCGTACCGGACCGGATCGGACCGCACAGCTACGACCACGAGCACGGCCACCACCTGACCACGGCTACCAGACGACTGGCTGCAGGGGATGGACGCTTTCGAATGGGCTCTGCTGGGCCGGGGAGAGGCGCCACTGGCGGATGCCCTGCCGCCGCACTTGGCAGAGGGCGTGGCTAGGGGTCTGCCCGGTGGGGCGGTCTCACCGCCGGTGGCGTCGCCGCTCGGCGGCGGTACGCCGCGGATATCGCCGCTTGGGACTGGTTCGAGCTCGCTTGGCGTGGTGGGTGTCGGGCTGGGGACGAACACACCGAGGATGGCGACTCCCGGCCCGGATGTATCCCTGCGAAGCGTGGGCGCAGGCGCGGGCGCGGGCGCGGGCGTGGGCGTTGGCGTGAGGCCAACCACGATCAGCGCCTGGGGCGGCGGAGGTGCAACAGGGTGGACCGATGCTCACGGCGATGGCTCGCCCGAATGGGCACATCTGCCGAGGCAACGATGGTCACCGGCAAACGACGTGCCGTCGCTGGCATCGGCCTTCCAGAGCGAGGCTGCCGCCATGGAGGAGCAGTACGCACAGCTGCGGGCCAACATCCAGCACATGGACGCACTGCGCGCCAGCATCGGTACAGGCCACAGTGTCGGTGGAGGACAAGTGGGCGGCCAGCCCGGGAGCTATGGCTCTCCATCGCGGTACAACGATTCAATGCTGGCGCATGCTGGCGGCTACGGCGGCAGTTACGCCGGCTATGCGGGAGGCGGCGGCGGTGGCTACGGTCTGAAGCCCGAGACTGATCCCTACGCGTTCGAGCTGCAGCGGGCAGTTGACGGTCTCGCCGCCCAGCTCGACGAGGTGCTCACTCGCAAGGAGGCGGCGGCGGCTGAGAACGAGGCTCGACGCAAGGCGATATCCGAACTCTCCAGTCAGCACGCAGCCAAGCTCGAGCAGGTGCGCGAGTTGGAGCGCAAGCGCAGCCAGATGATAGAGACACTCCAAGCTGCCGAGCAGATGAGTCCTCCACCGGCAGCGCCAGTCAGCCCGGCCGAGTCGCCAGAGGCCAGTCCGGGCTCGGTGCCTGACTACAGGCTCTTGCGCGATCCACCGAGCAAGACGGCCGGGTTTGGCACCAGCACCCGGGTCCCCCTCTTTGACCGGTTCGGCATCCTTACGTGAGCATGGCGTAGTCATCAAGCCCGTCGTCATCCTCCGATGAGTCGAGCGCCGCTGGATCTAGCGAGCGAGCAAGAAGGGTGTCCAGAAAGGTGGGCCGGGCGTCGGCGGCGCCGATACCAATTGTCCGCGCCTCGCGCCGCAGCTGCATCAGCCGGTGCTGATGGAGAAGGGTCCGGATGTTGGAGGCTAGTATCAGCATCGCAAGCCGCAGCATGAGCATAAACGTTACGCCATGGCGCAGGAAGAGCATGACGACCGAGAGTGCGAGGCCCGACATAAAGCCCATGTATCGTTCGACCGACATGTGCTCGTACGCCGAGCCACCGAGCGCATCAACCGCCAGATACAGGACAACCTCCAGCGTGCTGAACGGCAGCGACGCGTCCTTGCCACTCTCGCTCTCGCCGTCACCATCCACCGACGACACCAGGGCCATGGCGAGGAGAAAGGCAAAGAACAGGACGTCGGCCACGAGAAGAACCGCCAGCGGCCGTCGGAGGGCGTAGATCCGCCCTACAATGCGGGCTTCACGCAGGTCGTACACACCGCTGTCTCCCATGCCAAGCACGCCCCACACAGGGTCCCACGCACCGAGCCCTGCAAGGCGGCGACTGGCCGTGCCTTCGTCCAGCACAGGGCTGACCGGCTCGGGCGCAACAGCAGCAGCAGCTTCGGCCTCGTCGCATTGCTGCCATCGACCGGGCAGCGCCACTCGGACGGCGGCCATGACCTGGCCAGCAGGCCCACGAACCACTGCGCGCGATACAGAGCTGCTCGGAGCTGATGGTCTCTGGTGTGCGCTCTGGCCATCGCCAGCATCGCCGTCGTCTTGGCCTCGTCTGCGGCGACGGCCTCTCCGGCGCCCAGCCGGGCGGCTCTCCCTCTCTCGGCCTTCCGACTCCAGGAGCGCAGCATGTCCATCATGTCCGCCCATACTTCTGCGCCCGAGACGCCTCCTGCTCGACCGCCTGCTCCTTCCCACCCAGGGTCCGGCCAGCGGCGGGGCAGGCCTGGACGACGCGCCTGCCTCCGGCTCCGATGCCGTGTTCATTGCGTGCGTGTGGGCGAATGAGAGAGACAGAGAGACAGAGAGAGTATGTGGGGTAGTGGGTGGTGGTGGTGGTGGTGGTGGTGGTGGTGGTGGTGGTGGTGGTGGTGGTGGGTGTGCGTGCGGGAGAGGAATGCCCCCGTATCCCTACATGCTAGGCCCGTACCCGTCTTGGTCTGCTGTCCTCCCCCTGTTCCAGCTGTCGTGAGCTGTGGAACCACCGCCCGCCCGCCCATTCACCCGCCAAATCATCGCCCCACTCGCCCCCGCCCACATCGGTCACTTCACTCTCGCGGGGCTCACGGGCAAAGGCGATCAATCCGACAGTTGGCGAAGAGGAGGTTGGTGTGGTGGACGAATCCAAGTTTCTCGCGTGTGCGTCCTCTGTCTGTTGACAGGCGCGTGAGGTCAGCAGGGAGTGGCGGTGATGCTGCGCCGGAGCGGGAGCTCGGCAGCTAGGAGCAGGACGGGGAGCAAGGCGGGGACAGGGATGGTTGGAAGCAAGCGGAGCAGGCGACATGCGAGTAGGTTGGGCGGGAGCGGGCAGTCGCTGGAGAGCATGCTGCCGAACGAGCTGCGGTCGGTGGTGCGGCATGTGGCGGTGGCGCTCTCATCGGGCTCGGCCGCCCACGGTGTGGTCGTCTCAGGCCTGGTTGGCGACGTGCTCGCGGCCATCATTGATGCGCGCGACATGCTGGCACTGCCGGATGGGATTGACGCGCTGCTGCGGGCGATGGTGGCGGCGGTTCAGCGGGCGCTCCCTGGCGGCTCAAGATACACGCTGGTCGAGGAAGACAGCCTCCGTGCTCGTGCCCGGCCGCTCATGGCTCAGCTCAAGCACCTGCACAGCACAGAACTCTCTTCGTTTGTCGACGCAGAAATTCCTCTGGTGCGCCGGCCTTCAGCGACACGTAGTGGCGCGCCGGTTCTTACCAAGCACGACCTGGAGCTTGCACGGGCCGCGATTGTCGACGCGGGCGTCGAGCTGTTGAGCAACGCACAGGCTATGATGGCTGAGGTCGATGCGGCTGTGGCGAGCGAGCGCGGGCGAGCGGCACTCTTGCTGAAGTCGTCGTCTGAGGTCATCTCGACGCTTGAGGCCCGTGAGCAGGCGTCGCGGTCACTGGTGGCTCTTGTCGAGCCGCTCGTCGAGGCGCTGACGACAACGATTGACGCCTTCTCGGCGCTGGTTGTCTTTGTGGAGGCTTGGAAGGCAGCAACACCGAGCTCTGTCCTGGACTCGTTGTGGACAAGCTCTGCAGCGCTGGACGCTTTGATTCCTGCGTTTGGCCCTGCGCTTGGGTCGACGACAACGTCGCGCTCACTCGACGCGCTGCTCCGTACCTCCAGCAGCGTCATCGACGAGGCGCGGACTGCAGTAGCCAACTCGACACGTGTGGTGGATGATGCGACCTTCAATGTGGCGACCGGGCTCGACGCTCACTCTGTCGGTCACCTCAAACATGCGTACCACCTCGCATCGGACGAGTGCTACTCACGACCGCAACTGGAGGAATTGGAGATCAACTACCACGCGCGACTCGCGGCGGCGGCGAACGAGATCAAATCGCTGCAAGCGCAGCTTCGGCGGGCATCGCTGGGAGTCGGCGGCAACAACGAGGACAGACGGAGCTCGAGCGAGGGGCTGGCGCCGAGCGGAAGCTCGACCGAAAAGCTCCTCGCTCCTTATGTGGAGCGGGAGCACGCGCTGCGCGCGCAGCTCGAGTACTTGAAGCGGGTTGTGGAAGCTGGCACCAACGGGACCGACCCCCTGGCGGCCGAGGAGGCGGTTGCGTTCTCGGCGCGAGTGGCGAGCGCGGCCCGCGACATGGCACAGCACATGATGGCCGACTCGGGCGTGCGGTACACCGAAGACGATCTTATGGAGCTGTACAACCACTTTCAGGGGCGGCAGGCGGCGCTGGAGACGCGGGTGTCCGAGCTGGAAGAGGCTGAGCGCGAGCTGGCCGAACACAAGCGACGGGCGGCGGGGATGGAGGGTGTGTCGGCGGCGCGACTGGAAACAGCGCTCCGACAGCTGCTTGACAAGTACAACCGGTACCGGGCCAAGTCCAAGGCCAAGCTGGCAAGCATGAAGCGGCTCTCACTCGAGGCGTACTCCAAGCTGCATCGCAAGCACAAGAAGGAGCTGGCGCGAGCAAAAGCGACAGCGCTCATGCGCGAAGACGAGCTGCGAGCGCAGCTCACGTTTGCGTACAACGAGCGTGACGCCATCCTCACCGCCCATGACGAGGCGCAGCAGAGGGCAGCTGACGAGCGGGCTGCGCGGCAGGCTGAGCGGCAGAAGCGCAAGACCAAGGAGGCGACCATGGCGAGCTTGAAAGATCAGCTCAAGTCGACCGCTGCAGCCGCGTCACAGTCGGCTGAGCTGGCGGCGGCGGTGAAGAACTTTACCGCGCTCTCAGCCGAGTACGAGTCACAGATTGCCGAAGCCGACGCCACCATTGATGCGCTCTCCGAAGAGAAGGCTGCGCTCCAGGCTGCGCTGCAGCAGGCGACAGCAGCCATCGATCGCGAGCGCGCGACGCGGGCGCAGCTGTCGCGGCACGCCAATGAGTCGGCGGCGTCGGTGGCAGCGCTAGCCGAAGTCGAGGATGCGCTGCAGGCCAAGACCAATGAGCTGAAGCGGGCCGAAGCTTCCAAGCGTGAGCTTGCCGGCAAGCTTCACGCTGTGGCGGAGGCCATGCAGGATCTGGAGACGCAGGTCACCGATGCCGTTGCCGAGGCGGAGGCTCGTACCCACGAGCGCGACGACATCGCCAAAAAACTTCGCACCGCCATGGAGCAGCTTGTAGTTGCCTCCAAGCGGGTAGATGCCCTTGAAGAGCTGCTGGCGCAGCAGGGATCCGCCGACGATGCCGGCCTAGCTGCCGCGCTCGCCAAAGCACAAAGCGCGCGTGACGAACTCGAGATCGAGTTGACGCAGCGCAACCACGAGCTGGCCATAGCGCGGGACGACGCTGCCCGTGCACAGGCCGACGCCGACGCGCGGCCGACGGCCGACGCGATCGCTGAGCTCAAGAAGAGCGTCCGCGAGCTGGAGGCCAAAGTCGAGGAGAGTCGCCAGCGGGCGCAAGATGCTGACGAGGCACATGTTGCTAGAGTTGGTGAGCTCGAGGCGCAGCTGGCAGCGGCCGAGGCCGCAGCGGTCAATGCGGACAGGGTTGATGGCGAGGTTGTTCCGGCGAGCGAGATGGAAGCACTCAAGGCTCAGCTGGCAGCGGCCGAGGCCGCAGCGGCCAATGCGGACGGGGTTGATGGCGAGGTTGTTCCGGCGAGCGAGATGGAAGCACTCAAGGCTCAGCTGGCAGCGGCCGAGGCCGCAGCGGCCGATGCGGACGGGGTTGATGGCGAGGTTGTTCCGGCGAGCGAGATGGAAGCACTCAAGGCTCAGCTGGCAGCGGCCGAGGCCGCAGCGGCCGATGCGGACGGGGTTGATGGCGAGGTGGCGGAGGCGCTTCAGGCGCGCCTCGACGAGCAGACCCAGGAATGTACTCGGCTCGAGGCCGAGGTCGCTGCACTGGCATCCGAGCGCGATGAACTGAAGGCGCGGATTGTCGAGCTAGAGAAGGAGTTGACAACCAAGGGCGAGAACGATGTCGAGGCTGTCAATGATGCCGAGCTGGTGGCCGAGATGGAAAAGGTGAAAAAGTCCATGGCCATGAAGAACAAGATCATTGTGGATCGCGACAAAAAGCTGGCCGAGGCGACCAAGGAGTTGGATAAGGTGAAAGGTATGCTAGAGGCTGCGCAGCAGCAAGCAGCTGCCGCACGGGAAGACGCCGCCAAGGCCAAGAAGGCGCTAGCCGAAGCGCCGTCAGCAGCGACAGGCGACATCAGCGCGTCGGCAAACGACAATGCAAGCGGACCGCCTCCACCAGCACCACCGGGCGGGCCACCGCCGCCTCCACCGCCGCCACCGGGCGGGGCACCACCGCCGCCGCCGCCACCTCCACCGGGTGGGGCGCCGCCGCCACCACCACCGATGCCTGGAGGCGGACCGCCGCCACCACCACCGATGCCCGGAGGTGGACCGCCGCCGCCACCGCCGATGCCCGGAGGTGGACCGCCGCCACCTCCGCCACCTCCTGGTGGAGGCCCGCCGCCACCTCCACCGCCGCCTGGTGGAGGCCCGCCGCCTCCGCCGCCTCCTGGCGGCATGCCCCGGGTACCAGCCGCGCCACAGATTGGGGCTGAGTTTCGGACCGGTGGGCCGCTGCCAAAGCGGCCCAAGAAGAAGCCGCGGGTCAAGATGAAGGGCTTCAACGTGGCCAAGATCAACACCAACAAGATCAAACCTACGAGCTTTTGGTACAAGGCAGACGACACCAAGATTAAGGTCGACGCCGACGAAATCGAGAATCTGTTCGCAGCCAAAGTGTCAGCGCCGGCGGCGAGCGGCGCTAGCGCCAGCGCATCCAAAAAGCCGACGGTGGTGACGCTGCTGGACCCGCAGCGGTCGCAGAACCTAGGCATTGCGTTGGCACGGTTCAAGATGAAGCCGCAGCAAATCTGCGACGCCATTCTTTCGATGGATACCGAAGCGCTCTCGCTCAACCAGATCAACTCACTGCTGCGCAATGTGCCGACGTCGGAGGAGATGGGCGAGCTAGAGGGCTACGATGGCGACCGGGCACTGCTCGCGCCGGCAGAAGCGTTCCTCATTGAGACACTCAGTATTTCGCACTATGCGTCGCGGCTGGAGGCATTCCAGTTCCGGCTCAAGTTCAAGGAGCGGCTGGACGAGCTGTTGCCGGACCTCAACGCCATCACTACGGCGTCCGAGGCCATCAAAGACTCGGCAGCGTTCAAGCGGGTGCTCGAGCACACACTAGCGCTGTCCAATTACCTCAATGGGGGAGGCTTCCGTGGTGAGCTGTATGGCTTCCAGCTGAGCTCGCTGCCCAAGCTGCGTGACACGCGGTCGTCTGCGCGCCCGGGCTACACCTTGCTCCACTACCTCGTCGACCGGATGACCGAGCTGGACTCGGCGGACGAAGTGAGCAAGGCCATCGACGACCTCAAGAGCTGCGAGGCTGCGGCCAAAATCTCGCTGGAGACGACGATGACTGAGACCAAGAAGCTGGTGGCTAAGTTTGAAGAGGTGGCTGGCTACGTGGCGACATTTGAGGAAGAGGGCGTCAAAGACTCGGACAAGGACAACTTTATCGAGTCGATGGGCGCGTTCCGCGACGTGGCACAGGCCGAGCTCGACGAGGCCGTCGCCGAGATGGCGCAGGCTGAGATGCTGTTCAAGGAGACGCTCGAGTGGTACTCAGAGTCGCCCAAGACCTCCAACGAGGAGTTCTTCGGCATGCTCTCCGAGTTTGGAAAGGACATGGAGGAGGCGCGCAAGGAGATTGCTAGCCTTAAGCGCAAGGCTGAGCTGGCTAAGAAGCGCGAGCAGGAAGCCAAGGAGAAGGCCGAGCGCGGCGAGACCGAGCCTGCGGCTGCCAAGGAGAAGGCCAAGCCGCGTTTTGGCAAGCCACCTGGCGAGGCGCCCAAGGTCTCGCAGGCGGCGCTGATGGGCGATCTCGCTGGCGCTCTCTCGTTCGGACGCGGAAGAGGGCGTGGGCGCGGACGTGGGCGCGGCGGTGGAAGGGGCGGTGGGCGCGGGCGCGGCGGGCCGGCGTCTGATGAGGAAAAGCCGGGCTCGTGCCACGCCGACGGCTGTGACTGTGACATGTTCCGGGTCTCCCCGTTTGGCCGCAAAAAGGACGCTTGTGTCGATTGCGGGCACACCAAGAGTGACCACCTAGAGAAGAAGGCCGAGGTGGCCGAAGCAAGAGCGGGTGCTACTTCAAGCAACGAGTCTGTCGAAAAGGGGCCTTCCGATGACGTAGGACCCCCAGCCGCGCCCTCACCCAAACCTGAAGCCAGCGACGATGCCGACACTATTGCAACATCACCGGCGCCTCCAAAGTCATCGCCCGAGCCGGTACCCGAGCCGGTACCCGAGCCGGTACCCGAGCCGGTACCCGAGCCGGTACCCGAGCCGGTACCCGAGCCGGTACCCGAGCCGGTACCCGAGCCGGTGCCCGAGCCGGTGCCCGAGCCATCGCCAGCGGCGCCAGCCGAGTCAGCAGTAGCGGCGACGCCACCACCCCAGCCGGCGGACGCCGGCATGGCGGCGCTGCTGGCTCAGCTCGATGCTGCGGCTGCCAAGCCGGCAGCGGGCGAGGACGAGTCGGACGACGAGTCGGACATCGACCTCGCCAACTTGATCAACGGGCTCGAATCGTCAGACGAGTAAAGACAGTAGGTTACAGAAACTCAAAGTCGTCGTCTTCCCACGAGGTATTCCCACCCGAGAGCGATTGCGACGGCGGCGGGGCGGACGAGCATGCTGCCGGCGGATAGCCCGGCGCGTCACCGGGCACAACTGAGAACATCGAGACACCGGCAGTGGCGTTGAGAGCATCGAGGCGAGCTAAGAGGTCATGGAGCGAGTTCAGGTCGCGGCAAAGAAAGCAGAGCGCCATCGAAGGGTCAATCTTGGACAGCGGCATCGAGCGAGGCGTGAGGCACTGGTAGGAGAAGGCCGACTGGGGGTTGCCATGCTCGACATGCGCCACCGGCTGGACAGAGTGCGGATCGAGGTAGATGAGATTGTCGCCCTGGACGCCAACAAAGAAGAGCGCGCCCTTGGGCTTGCCGCCGAGCACGCCGACGGTCTGCGGGAACTCAAAGACGGCTTTGAGCGGCTCGTGATAGACCTCTGACAGCTGCTCGAGGCCGAGGCGGACAGGGACCAGCAGGAGTAGCGGCCGCCAGTTGTCAGCCGTGGTCGGCAAGCCCGCGGCCGAGCCGGAGCTCCTCGCGACGTAGTCCAGTCCTGGACTTAGCGTGGGCATCTCGGGATAGAGGCTTGATGGCCCGGCGGCGGCGGCCTGATCGAGCGCCTCGCACGAGACGGCCGGGGAGATCGGCGGCGTCGTCGAGGTGGCGCGGACAATGCCGGCGGTATCACTGGAGACGCCAGCCGGGTCGACATGCGGCAGGTCCGGAACGCCGTCGGAGGCGCGCGACGAGCCCGGGGCGACGAGCCACATGGTGGCGTCGAGCGGATCAGACTCACCGACTGGCGCAGTGCAGCTCGCAACAAGACGGCGAAGATAGACGGTGGCGTCGTAGGCAACAACCATGGCGAGATTACCGGGTGCGTGAGCGTTGACCAGGTACCGCATACAGTTGCCGATGGTGGTCGGCGCAAACCACTCGCCGATGTTGAGCCCGAGCCTGCAGCCGAGCCAAGCAAAGTGGTGGATGGCGTATGGAGTGGCCGGCGAGGGCACGTCGGCAAACCATGAGAGGATATCGTAGTATGCGTCCGGAAGCGCAGCAAGAGAGGCAGGGCCGGCCGATGCGGCGATGGCCTCGAGCTCGGCGTCGTCCAAGACGCGAGCGGCTGTGAGGCGGGCAGCAAAGGTTTCGGGCGGGATAACCCAGTCGTCGCCAAGAAGAAGGCGAACAAGCGCCTGCGCGAGCGCCATCTGACCGACGCGGAGCATGCAGCCCCAGCCGACATCAGATGATTGCGGCGAGGGCTCAATGGGGGCAAAGCCGCGGCGGTAGGTGACCCAAGGCGTGGAGCAGATGACTCGGAGCAGCGGCGGGGAGTGGGGCTGAGGCTCAGCTGGCGGCGGATAGCGGCGGCCCAGGAGGACATACGGGCTGTCTGGGTCGAGCGCCACACCCTTTGCCGCCGTCATCTTGTTGTACAGCGCTGCAGCCTTGTTCGACTTGGCCACGACCGCCGACACCAGCTTCATCATGGAGACCGCGGGAGGGAGAGGGGGGAAGGGGGGAGGGCGGAGGGAAGAGAGGCGGGCTTCCTCGGAACCTTACTCGGCACAAGCAGGCGCCAAGAACAGGTGCAGGGTGTGTGGGAGGCTGGCGCGGTGCAAGAGTCCGACCAAGCCGCCAAACCCAAGTGGCGTGTGCGTGTCGTCGTCGTCTCGTCGCCAGCAAAGTGTGACTGCCGCGCCTCACCGCATCGCACCGCATCCGATCGAGAGGAAGAATGTGGGTGGGGGGGGGGGGGGGGGGGGGTGGTGGTGGGTGGTGGTGGTGGTGGTGGATGAATTCG